GGCCCCTTTGGCAATAGGAAACACGTAGACTGTTGTGGAGATTGATTTTGGAGTTTAGATGCACTGTGTAGCAAACTTTTCAAGGACTCGTTGCTTTCAGCAATCAAGGTTGTGTTACCTTCATAATGCAGGTTGTTTGACTTGACCTCTGATCCTGAGGCCACAGGATCATAGAGTCCAGCTTCTCATATAATTTTCTGTGTGTAGATTGAACAAATATGGAGAAAGGTTACACCTCTGGTGCACGCTTGATTTTAAACCATGTTGTGTTCTTTTTGCTCTGTTCATTCACACAGCAGCCTCTTGGTCTAGTCATTGATTTGTTCCTGAATGCAAGCGGTTCTTTCCATAGTCATTTGCCAATAAGACAAATGGATTGCTATATCCATAAGCACTTTAGTATAGGTGGAGGACAGCCGCTGGCAGGGGTCACCAGACTTTTAAACTAAAATCAAAGAATTTCTATATCTGAAAGGAAATCATTCACACCCATATACTCCCTTTCCAGGCAAACAGATTAAGTTACAATTTACATAAGATTGGGAAAAACAGCTTCAAAGAGATAACAGCTAACCTAGGAGATGCATCTCCTCTTTTGAGAAACAGATTAAAGAAAGGCCACTAAGAATTCTAAGGTCAAGCAAGTAACCATTCAGGCTGGAGAAAATGGATGCCAGTTTTATAACTGTAAAACTATAGTTCCATAACTGATACATACATAGAGAATTCTGAATTTATCAGTACCACCCCATCAGATTTCTCATTAACTCAGTTAAGTGTTCTCTAACTTCCATTTTTTCAATGCTTAGCTCCACAATCAACACTTTTGGTACCAGCAGTCAGGAAATTAAAAGATGAATTGCATTAGATAAATCTGTCAAGGACCTCTCCAGAGAACTGAGAAACAACAATATCAGTCTAGAGACAAAGGTGTGCCTGATTCAGGCCATAGTTTTTGCAGTTACATAATATTCATCAGAGAGCTGGACAGTGAATAAAGATAGCAAAGAGTTGATGCTTTTGAGTTGTGATGCTGGAGAAGAGCCTGAAACATACTGTAGACCACCAAGAAAACAAATAGGTCTGTCTTGGAGAGGGTGAAACCAAGTTTCTCCTTGGACGCTAGGATTTTGAAGCTGTCTCACATATACTTTGGGCACGTGGCCAGGAGGTACTGATGCTTGGAGAAAGACACCATACTTGGAAGGGTGGAGGGACAGTGCAGGAGAGGAAGACCCCCATGAGAGATTGATACAGTAACTAGGGCAATGGGGGTAGGTGTGTTGGAGTCAGTGAGACTGGCTCAGGACAAGGCAGAGTTCAGAGCTGTGGTACATAGGATTGCTATGAGTCTGTGAACTGCCTCATAACATCACCTGGGTGCTGATTTCCTGATAAAAAGGTCAGCTTTGATTCAAGGTCCGAATGTTCCATTATTATGTTAATAAAGGGAGTAACAGCTCCCAGCTGTGGATTAATTTGCGGGGTGGAGAGGCATACTACAATAATTAAAGAATCTAAAGTTGATAGGGAAAGCTTCCTCAAAATTGTCTTTAAAGGATCGGGACTTGAGCCCGATAAGGAGTCTTTTAGTTGTCCTATACACTAAAAGGACACTTCTCCCTTTTATTAACGAAATCTTGTTTTCTGTTGCTTTCTTGCCAGATGCATAAATACTACTTTGAGTTATTTATCTTTATAAACAGCAATCAATAAATAAAATGTTTTCTAAAAGCTGATCATTTATACTGAACCCAAGCTATCAGCTGCCCCAGGTCCTGTGTGACCTCTTAGACGGTAGCCATCTTGAATGGTTATGCCATTTGATAACCCTGCATCTCATCAGATTCAAGCCGGCTTGACAAAACCTGTAGCACATGGCCTTTAATGGCTCAACTGCTAATCTAAAGAATCCATTTTGGAGGACTGCTACATGGGCTTGCTGATTTCCATAATCTATTTTTTGCAAAGATAATCCCACCTTTCACTCCTGAAAGTGCTGGATAAGCACTTGCTGTTCCCCTGCATCTTGAATCTAGCCTGTAAAATGTTCTCAGATCCTTACCTTTGGGAAGCTCATACCTCAGTGCTAATCTATATGCTGCTGTTGTTGTTGTTTAATGCCTTCGAGTTGTAGATGACTCATAGCGACCCTATGAACGAACAGCCTGAGCACTGTTCGTACATAGAGTTTCCAGAGGCAAGCCATTTTGGAAGTGGATGCTGCTCCTGCTTCCAGGCTTGATTTAGTCGGGAAGCTCCAGCCAACACTGTCCACCATGGGTGCCCATTACCACGATTGGCACCTCACTTTCACAGGCTTCAGCATCACAGCAACCACGAGTTACCTCTGTACAGCAACGCACAGACCAGTGCTATACCACCTAGTAGAATATTTGACAGGAAGACAATTTGAACCTGGCCGAGGGCCACAGATGACAATCACCCACCTTCGGATCTATATGCTAGCATACATAATAAAACTAATTTTTCCTTTCCAACCTCTGTCTCCAAGATTGGTTTTTCTAGAATCAAGTAGCCAAACTGAATTTTTCCAGTAAATGTTATAGTGCAGGGGTAGGTAGATCTGGGATATATATTTCAGGCCTCATTTTTATGTAAGCAAATGCAATATTTAGAGAGAATGGAAGGAGAGTAGATTTATTTGAAGGATTTTAGAGTATTCTGTATGTTCCAGAGATGAGAATAAGGGGGGAAGTGAAATGATACTTTGAGTGAAATTGTTTCTGTAGTTTTAATGTACCCAATTTGAGGCAATGGTGGATGTCATTAAGATAGAGGGATATTTCTTAGGTACTTGAAGGAAGCTTTTGTGGCTTTATGGTAAGGAGTTGTGCTGCCAATCCAAATGCATGCAGTTTGAATCCACTAGCTGCTCTACAGGATAAAGATGAGCCTGTGTGATTTACGCCCTATGAAAACCCATTGGAGAGTCAGCTGTGAGTTGTTTCACCTACTTAGTGGTACATGATGACAACAGTAGGTACTGGGTCTTAAAAGAGATGGTTGGGTAAGTGATATATTCAAGCTTCAGTGGTAATAGTTGACACTTGGGACAGAATATTTCTAGAGAGATGAGAGAAAGTCTAAAAATAAACTACTGAGGCATATGTACAGAGGAAGATAGTCAAGAAAAAGATATCATTGACCAGGAATTTGTGAAAGAGGTCTAGAACTCAAGATGTACCAATTCATACTGTTTCTCCAAAAATTTGCTCTAACTCTTGCATTCCTTGGGTAAGAGGGAATGATACTGAAATAGTGTTTATAGTAATGCAAAATGGAAAACAGTCTGGTTTGAATAGTACATATGGTTGTTTTCTTAGAGTGTGTTTTATCTGAAGGGGGAAAGTTTTTTTCTCACTCCTAGTAAGAGCTGCTTTAATAGCCTCAAATGGTAGATGTTACCTTTTCCTTTAATAGGATAATTGCCATTGATAAGGAATTGCATATACACAAATGAAGGGAACAGAAAAGTGTTACCTTACTCTGTGGTGCAAAGCAAATATTTTTACTCTTTCATTTGTCCTTCTTTTAGAAAGATAAAACGGATATATACGTAGGAATTCTAAATAATTCATAAGGTATTAAAAAGTTTTTACTTAAGAATAAAACTTCATCTTTGTATATGAATTATAGAAACTTAAAAAGAAAAATAATATTAGGATTTAGAACCTAGGATATTTGAAATATTTTTTAATGTAGAAACAATTTATCCCTACGCTTGCTCTAATAGGGAATTAGAGACTAAAAGATGGTGGAAGTAACTAAAATAATATTCTCTAAAATACTTTGAGATTATAATAAGAATCTAGGAAGTCTTTAGCAGCGGAATAAAAATTCATTTGAAGAGGTTTTTTGACGAGCCTTGATGAAACTATTTGAAGCTGACAGTGATGCAACATTCTCACAAATCTCAGACATGCCAGAGCTCCCTATACTGTCAGGTGTCAACATCCTGTTGAGGATATTCCTCTTACTCTGACCCTCCCCACCTCTTCGCATCTGTATATAGACTTTGGAAAACATTGTACTTATCAGAATAAAGTGTTTCTTTATAAAGAAATGCCTTAACAGGATAACCAAAGTTTAGCCTTTAAGTATCAGAAAAATTGAAACCCTTTTGTTTCTTTTAAATGGAGAATTGGACTCTAAGGATCATCAGGCTCAGTTAATCACTATATATTTGAACTTTTAATGCTAGTTGACAGCTTTAATGTAGTACTTTTTCAGATGGAAAATCTTTTTTTCTGGATGTGAATAGTAGAGGTTTATGCTAATGTTTATAGAAAGAATAAAAGCAGAGAGTTAAGAAACAAGTAAGGACCTGTGTGGTCTGTGTCAGATTACATGTTGAACTGATCTGGGAGCTGGTTATTTTTATTATAATTACTGCATATTTATTGATGGCCTCCTAATAATATAGATGTTATTCCTTTTTTCCTGTACACTTACAAGTACATTTAAAGTAAAAAGCACACAATCATAGGGAAACAAATGAAATATGAAGCTAGAAACAAAACTAATTATTGGGTTTTCTAGTGATGGGATGGATATACTCTTTTTTTAAAACAAGCAGATCACATTTACTGGTCCAAGTACAGAAAAGTTGTTTTGGGAATGGATATACTCTTGATAATTAGAACCTCAGTTATTTGGTATCAAGATATTTTATCAAATAGCAGTGATTAGCAAATTATTAAAGTATATTTCTACTATATAATATAGGCAGTGAGTGGCATTGAGTATTTCTGCTGTGTGCCATGTTGGAATTTAGCTACCAGTGCCAGCCTAGTCTAATGGAGATTCTATTTCAAAATTTTCCATATTTTGAGGTATGTAAGAGCACAACTCTTGCCTTCTCCTAGTTGTATAAGTAGTATATAATAATCACATTTATTTGTGTAAAAGCCAAAATTAAGTAGATTTCTTGATTTTTTTTTTTCCTCCCCTCCTTCCCTCTTTCATCTAGAGTTCTTATTCAAAAGGAAGTAATCCAGGAAAAGGAGACAGAAGCAAATCAAGATGTGTAGCTCTGTGGCTGCCAAATTGTGGTTTTTGACAGATCGTCGCATCAGGGAAGACTATCCCCAGAAAGAGATTTTACGGGCCTTGAAGGCCAAATGTTGTGAAGAAGAACTAGACTTCAGGGCTGTGGTGATGGATGAAGTGGTGCTGACAATTGAACAAGGGAATCTTGGTAAGACTATATTAATTTTTTTCAGGTTTTTTTATTATTATTATTCATTTTAATAGACATTTACAGAGGTTTTGAATTTCCATCCATTCGTTGCGGCGCTTTTCTCCCTACCCCTTTATTAATTAATTTTTATATATTTTGCTTAAAGTCCTGTGGTCATTGTGCTTATTTCTGGAATAATTAGGACCAGGAAATCCTTAATGGCCTTGTTATTACTAAATATTTTTTTATGGAAGAAATGAAGACATTGGGGAAGGAAATATCTGTACTTAGGAAGCCATTACAAGAGAATTAATGATATAATAATTAGTGATCTATTAATTTTCTTAAATTTTTATTTTCTTAGTACAATAACATTAATATCACATGCAAGCAAGATGTTGCTGAGAATTATCCAAAAACAATTGGCGCAGTATGTTAGCAGAGAACTGCCAGATGTGCAGGCTGGATTTAGAAGAGGTCATGGTACTAGGGATATATTATAGCTAATGTTAGATGGATCTTGGCAGAAAGCAAGAGAGTACCAGAGGAATGTCTTTCTGTATTTTTTTTTAAATTTTATTATTATTATTTGTGTGTGTAACATCAAATTGGATCTGACTGGTACAGGACAGGAGGAGATTGTCCCTCCTTCTTCAGCAGAGCATCTGGTGGATTTGAACCACGTGCCTCTGGGATTGCAGTTCAGCTTCTTGCCACTAGGCCACCAGAGCTCGCCTTTCTTCTCCCTTGGTAAACTTAATTTTTCATTTCCTGTGCCTAATAATGATTGGTTAGGTTTTTCTTTTTTTTACTTTTTTTTAGTTAGTTTTAATGAAAGTTTACAGAGACTAGGGTTTCCAGTCATTCATTGTTGCACTTTTATCCCTACGCACCCCCTCCCAATTCAGTCTTCTCCTTGAAAAGTAAAACTTTACATTGTTGTGCAATCCCACCCTCGAGTCCACTCCATTATGCAGCCCTCACTCTGGACTTCTTTTAATGACAAGAATGCCCATTCACATATCCCTTTAAACAGTTCTCTCACCTGATTCAGTGCAATATACATCATTCCTCCCCGCCTTTTCTGTCTTCCCTCAACCCTGGTCTGTCCCGTTTTACAATAGTGGCTCTATGCAATATTTGTCCTTTTGTGACTGAAATTTTTCACTCCGCATAGTGTCCTCCAAGCTCATCCATTTTGCATAATATTTCATGAGTTCCTTGTTTTTCAGAGCTGCATAGTATTCAGTTGTGTGAATATTCCAGAGGTTCTCTATCCATTAGTTTGTATAGTACTTTCAGAAATGCTGCAGGGAAAAAGAGGAGGAGAATTCATTTGTCATCTTTTGGAAGACTTTAAGTTTTATCTAGTAAAGACAAGAAAACTTTCTTCACCTTCTCACTTCAGCATAGGGAATAGGAAAACTCAAAACTCAGTGCCACTGAGTGAGACCAACATGATAATATTTCATTGTGTTACTGAGTCTGTAAATCATAGTGGGAGCAGACTATCTACTTTTCTCTCCTGTTGCTGCTGATGGATTTGATCCATCAAGATTTTCTTAGGTCATATTCCATTGTCAGAAGGTTTGGGAATGCTTATGAATGATGTAAGCTCAGACATTGATATTACGCTTTAGCCTTATCCTTCCCCCTATCCCCCCAAGTATTTTATTGTATATTGAAAGAACATATTAGTTTCTGTTTTAGCAATTTATACATATTTTGTTTTGTGATTAATAGTATTAATCTTCTGCATATGAATTAGTCCATTTCATTGTGATACTGTGAATTGCTTGGTATTGTTCTTTTTAAGGAATTTTCTATGTAATTGTGTAAAATGACCACATGTTGTTATTTAGAAATCTCAAACGTGAGTGTGTTGTTAGAATCACTGTGGCAGTCCATCTTGTTGAGGATCTCCCTCTCTTTCTTTTACATTCCACCTTTCCCAGCATATTATCTTTTTTTGAAAGGACTGGCCTTTCCTGAAAACATGCCCAAAGTATGTGAGACAAAGTTTAACCATCCTTTTCTCCAAGAAATACTCTGGTTGTTCTTCATGACAGAGTAGGAATATTTAAATTATATTTGTGGTCCGTTTAAGAGACTGAAAATGACATGAGAAAGTCTAGATGATAAAACGAAGGGAAGAAATGCCAAAGGACAGCTCAAGAAGATAGAATATTACATCAAGTTGTGCAAAGAACTAGAGTTAGAAAATAGAAGTAGACAGACTTGCTTGGCATTTCCCAAGCTGAAAGAACTGAAAAACAAATTGATGCCTGGCTGTAGTACTGAAGGATGCAGTGGGCAAAAACTTGAAAGATCAAGAAGCATCAAAAAAAAGATAGAATATACAGTCATTCTACCAAAAAGAATTGGCTGACATGGAACCAATTCAGGAAATAGGATAAGATCAAGAACCAGTGTTAATGGAGGAAGACATTCAAGCTACATTAAAGACACTGGCTAATAATAAGACCCAGGGAACTGATGACATACCAGTTTGATATGTTACAGCAAACAGATGCAACCTGGGACATGATCGCCGTCTTGACTAAGAAATTTGAATGAGAGCCACCTGGTCTGCTGACTAGAAGAGATCCATATTTGTTCCCATTTCCAAAAAAAAAAACAACCCAACCCAACACAACATGAAAATTACTGCATAATTAATCATCACTAATCACCAGTAAAATCTTCCTGAAAGTTATGCAAAAACAGCTTCAACAGTAGTACATCAGCATAGGTAGGCCAGCATTTACACTTGATTTGAAGAGGCCAAAGCTCTTCAGGGATAGCTTTGTTGATTTCAAATGAATCTATTCTGAAAACAGACTACCAGTATGTCTGTTTTATTGACTAGGAGGAAAGCCTTGACTGTGGATTCCAACAAGTTATTGCTGATGTTGAGAAGAATGGGAATCCCAGAAAACGTAATTCTTGTATTAATGTGAAACCTATATCTCTACCAAGAAGCTATTGTCCGAACAGAACAAGTGTGGTGTTAATATGGGTTTATTGTTCAGAAAAGCTTTCCTGGCCATTGATTTTACCTCTGCCATGTGGATGGGCAAGAATAAGTAAGTAGGGTATATTAGCCTATCCCCAAGGTGATTGACTAGTTTTGCCACTAAATTTGAGCAGATTCATTGACAGATTTTGGAAGTCTAACCACCAGCAAAGAAGTAGAGAATGCACAGCATGCATCCTTCAAGGCCAAAGATTCCAGCGCCAATCAGACCACGGCCTACAGAACCTGTAGCAGAGAACCAGAGACCCAATATGAGAGAGGGGTGAGCTTAGGAATGCTACTCTACAGAAGCAGAGTGAGAGCCTTTGCCCAAGTTTTTGAAAGATTGTGGGGTTGGAGGGTTGGAGTGAGCGAAGAGAGCCATAATCGGCAGGACTAAACGTTTTTTTAAAACTTGCCACAAACTGTTAAGCCGAGGACTGAGGTACCTGCAAGCACATTTCGGAAGCGGTCCTGACTATCTTGCTGCCAACCTGAATTATGGCCTTTTGACTTCCCTAGTATGGTTCTTTGTGGTCTGTGAGCTGTTGCAGTGGATTTTGGACCTAGTGGAGTGGTACTAATTGGTGTTGGGAGGGTAGAAAGAGGTGCAGGAGTGAGGACGACATGTCTAACTTCATGTGAATTAGGTCTGTGTTGTGGATGTTGTTGAGGGGCAGTTTTTCCTTGTGGGATTAGTGGAAGTCAGACATGGTTGTCCTCACACAACTTTTTGTTTTTTTATGGCAAAGGAATACAGTATGGTTTAAAATCAAGAAAGGTTTACATTAGAGCTATATCCTTTCTCAATATCTATTCAGTCTGTCTACTGAGCAGATAATTTGAGAAGTTGGACTATATCAAGAAGAATGTGTCAATCAGGATTAGGGGAAGACTCGTCAGTAACCAGTATTATACAGTTGACATAACCTTGCTTGCTGAAAGTGAGGAAAATTTGAAATGCGTGCTATAGAAGATCACGGATTACAGCTTTCAACATGGATTACATCTAAGCATCAAGAAAACAATAATCCTCAACACTGGTCCAGTAAGCAACATAATGACCTATAGAGGAAAAAATTGAAGTTGTCAGTGATTTTATCTTACTTGGATCCACAATCAACACCATTCGTACCAGCAGTCAAGAGATGAAAAGATGTATTAGGGAAAATCTGCTGTTAAAGATGTCTGCAGTGTGCCAAGGAGCAGTTTAAGGTGTACCTCATTCAAGCCATGGTCTTTTCAAGTACTCCTTAAGCATCTGAAAGATGAACGATGGGTAAAGATGACAGAAGAAAGTATTTGAAACCTTTGATTTGTGGTGTTGGAAAATGGTACTGAACATTCCATGGACTGCCAAAAGAAAGAAAATGTCTTGAAGAAGATGAAGGTCTTAAAGAAGGTACATCTGAGGAACGGGTGGTGAAACGTCATCTCACATACTTTGAGTATGTTATTAGGAGGGGCCAGTCCTTGAAAAGACTTAACTATTTGGACAGGTGGAGGGTCAGAGAAAAGAGGAAGACTCTCATAGGGAGATACCAACACAATGTATAACAGTGAGCTTGAGTATATCAGAAATGATGAGGATGGCACAGAATATAGCAAGGTTCAGAGTCATTGTAAATTGGTGTCACTGTGAGTCATAGTAGACATGATGACACCTAGCAATGAGGGAATTGAAAAGGAGCTCTGGCCCAGTGGTAAAGAAAGACTTAAGCTGCCAACCAAAATGCACTCAGTTCAAATCAGCCAGCTGCTCAGTGGTAGATAAAGTATTTCCTGTGTGATTTGCAGCCCCTGAAAACAAGTTTCAGCTATGAATCAGTTCCAACTCAAAGGTACAAAACAATAATAATGATAGCTTAGCAATAAGGTAAACAGAGTAAGTGGTACTTGTGCTGTACAATCTTACATATAAAATATATGAGATGCAAACGTGAATGTAGATTTTTTTCCCTTTTCACATTTCAGTCTCCATACAGTGCTTTACAGTGCTTTTTGTGATATATATATATATATGTATGTATAGATATATATCTATACATACATATATGTTTTATATACATATGTATATATAATGTTGTTATGTGCTGTCGAGTTGCTTGCAAATATGTGTGTCATGAACCTTGAACTTAAACTGAAATTTTGAAATAGCATTGTAGTTCATTCTTTACTAACAAAGCCTATGTAACCACTACAGTATGTCTGTAAATCTTAACGTACTCTTTGTTTTAGTATCATTAGACAATATTTGAATATCATGCTTACCAGCAAATTCACCAAAAAAAGAGAGAATGACGTTAAATAGAGTCTGTAAAGGACATTTGTTTAGAGTATGAGGGCTGAAACAAGAATGCTTTATTCAGCTTCAGCTTTGAATAAAGAATGGCATTATTTAACCTCAAATGGGAAATGTGTGAGTCTGGCTAGTTAGATTTTGCTGCATTGTACAGTCCACAAATGTGTTCTAATACTGATTGTACTACTACTAATAAATTTTAGCAAGTAGATAAATACAGACTAAGTGAAGAATGAAAGGCATGTTTAGATCAACTCTGGTGCAACCTCATATCCTTGACAGAAGCCAGTTTCTCCAAGAACCTGGGCTATGGGCCATAGTCTCCACCATTTTGGGCCTGAGGAATGGAGATTGGTAAGACTAAGGTGTTCTGCCAAGAGAACAAAATGGTTTGGCCTGGAGAGGGTAAGACCAAGTTGCTTCTTAGAGGCAAGGATCTTGAAGTTCCATCTCGGCATACTTTGGGCATCTTGCCAGGAAGGACTGGTCCTTGGAGTGGTGGAGAGACAGTGTAGGAGAGGGAAACCCTGGATGAAATGGATTGACAATAGTATTTGGAGTACTAAGGGGTAGGTATGTTGGAGGCAAAGAGATTGGCTCAGGATAGGGCAGAGTTCAGAGCTGTTGTGTTTAGGGTCGTTGTGAGTTGCAGTCACCGTGATGGCACAAAACAATCCTAGGCATGAACTTTTTAATTATTTCCCATGCATCTGGAAGTTGGACAGTATATAAGGATGACAGGGGAACAAAAAAAATAATGACATTTTTGAATTGTATTGCTAGAGAAGACTACTCAATCCCCAGGAGTGTCATAAGAACAATTAAGTCTGTCTTGGAGAAAATGCAACCTGCGTGCTCCTTAGAGGCAAAGATGGTGAAACTTTGGTGTTACTTTGGGTTTGTTGTCAGGAGGGATTATTCTTGGGAAAGGATACCATGTTGGCAAAGATGGAGACTCAGAGAAAGAGAAGACAACTGGCAACAAGATATATTGAAATAGTGATTATAACAGTGGATTCCGGCATATCAGTGTTCAGGCCTTTTTTTCTTAGGATCACTAAAAAGCATAGTAGACTTGAAGGCACACAGTAGCAGTGGGTATGAACTGACTGTGTGCTTGTTAGTGAGATTGACATATATGTTCTGTTAGGTTTGTTTGAATATCTTAATTTTGTAAATGTCTCATTTGTGGCTTAATTTTTAATTTATTAACTAGATAAGAGTTGAAAACCAGATACCAAAGAAATTACATTACTACTAAAGATGTTATGTTTTGAAGAAAACAAAAGTATATCTTGATAGAAAACAGTTAAGCTGATATGGAAGACATTTTCTTTTAAGAATATATATATATTACTATTTTTGATATTTGATAATTTTGTAGTTTTAAAAACTCAGATATCTTTTAATTAAAGATTTTTATAAAGCTTTGTATTAATTCAGTGTTACTGCCCTGTTCTCTTCAAACTTATGTAATTATTTTTCTTCTTTAGACTTTGATTAGTTGGTAGTTAGTGGGAGGAAATAGGCCAGTTATTTTTTCTTTACACATAAATATTACAGATTGGCATTTATGGTAGGCATCAGTTCTTTGTGATACACATTCTTTGAACTGCTTTCTAACATTAATGTTCTAGAGTCTATTTACTTGGAAAATAAGTAGATATATATTTGTTCCCATTCCAAAGAAAGGTGACCCAGCAGAATAATATAGAACAATATCATTGATTTCACATGCAATCAAGATTCTACTGAAGATTATCCAAAAATGACTGGAACAGCACATCAGTATAGACCTGCCAGAAGTCCAGGCTGAGTTTAGAAGGGGTCGTGGTACTAGGGATATTGTAGCTAATGTTAGATGGATGTTAGCTGGAAGCAGGGAATACCAGAGGAATGTCTATCTGTGTTTCATTGACTATGAAAAGGCATTTGGCTGTGTGGATCATAACAAACTGGCT